ATATAGGTAATGGATAATATAGGTAGTGGGCAATGTTGGTAATTTAACAGGATAAACCTGGATATGGATTAGTAGGGAGTAGCTAACAACATCAGCATACCTAGGATAATGGGTAATAAGAATGTGAAATAAGTTGATGAAGGATAAGGATAATTGGTAATATCTGAAAATAAATGTATTAAAAAGGAATAAGGAAAATGAGTAATATGGATGTTAAATGGAATAATGCAGGATAAGGATAATGGATTAAAGGCTGGATAGTAATCCGGGTATAAAAGGAAGACTTAAACAGCTGCAGGATAAACAAGGATAATACACCAGAACTAGGATTAGCAAGGATAATATATGAGAACCAGATGATAAATGAAAAACAAAGACGACTAATGAAAACTAGGATAAACAAAGATATTAAATGATAACCAGGAAATACTAAGGATAATGGATAACTTTCTCTGTGTGGATAATTACTTTAACTACCTTACTTAGAATTAAATTACATCAATATTCCTCAGTACATAATTATTACTTCGAATCAGCGCTAATACAATCACAAATCAGCGTTCATACAATCACGAATCCACGTTGAAACAATCACAAATCAACGCTAATTTAACGTTAATTGTTCGTATTTTGTCGTCTGGGATGTGAAAAATTTCCAGACGAGGACATTTTTTCATTAAATTATCATGAAATGTGAATTATCATAAAATGTGAATTATCATAAAATGTGAATTATCATAAAATGTGAATTATCATGAAATGAGAATTATCATAAAATGTGAATTATCATGAAATGTGAATTATCATGAAATGAGAATTATCATAAAATGTGAATTATCATAAAATGTGAATCGAAGGAATAGGAAAGACCTTTCATCAGCAATAACAACAGAGTTGATCACAGGAAAACACGGTCTATAAAAACCTGTTTGAGGAGACTAACTCTCACACTTACACAAAAGGTTTGACTTACCTGTTTTTTTTTTATTGGTAGGAAGGACAGTGAAAGAGACAAGTTGCTGGAGAGGTGGAGGGATATACCCACGTGTACTGGGGCCAGATTCACGAAGCAGTTACGCGAGCACTTACGAACCTGTACATCTTTTCTCAATCTTTGATGGCTTTGTTTACAATTATTAAACAGTTAATGAGCTCGGAAGCATCAGGAGGCTGTTTATAACAATAACAACAGTTGATTGGCAAGTTTTCATGCTTGTAAACTGTTTAATAAATGTAACCAAAGCCGTCAAAGATTGAGGAAAGATGTACACATTCGTAAGTACTTGCGTAGCATCTTCGTGAATCTGGTCTGTATTTCAGCTAGGAATTATGTATTTCAGATGTAATTAAGAGTTCCGTGGAGCCTCGCCCTCTCTTCTAGACAAAATAACAAATGGTTATATATATATATATATATATATATATATATATATATATATATATATATATATATATATATATATATATATATATATATATGATTGTTCATGATTGTTCTTCACAATCTTTTTAAGTTCCAGAAAGTCCGCTTTAAATAACTTGGCTGATTTGTAGCTCATTGGATTCTGTGTTACAAGATAATTGATCCCTAATTCTTAACTAATGTACTGAGTCCAAGGGAAGTATATATATATATATATATATATATATATATATATATATATATATATATATATATATATATATATATATATATATATATATATATATATATATATGCTTACACAAAATACAACCATACCGAAAATGAGGCAAAAACGCATCAGGCAGGAGAGTGCAAACAGACACAGCAAGAGTACATATATGCAGAGAAAGTATACATCAAGAAGAACACCATCTGGTCACCACTTGGTCCGGGAGACATCTCCCGTCACGCAGGGTGCAGTCGCGCCTCCACAGATCTCCAGTATCATCTCTTGATACTGGTAATGGCTCAAAAGGGCCACCACATACGGGCTATTCATGCCCGTGCCACCTCTTGGGTGGCTTAATCTTCATCAATCAATCAATCAATACATCAAGAAAGTGCAAGAGAGGCAGCGCAAGATTACATACATACAGACAGAGCAAGTGTACATAAATATTGAGCAAGAGTACATACAGACAGAAGGAGAGTAGGGACAGTAATAATACAGACAGACAGCGGGGACGGGACGCGAGCTCTGTCCACGGCCAGAGAAACAATAATGTCAGAAACCGAAGTTTCAAACACTTCCTTCGCCAACAAAATTCTGGGAAATAGCTGTTGGTACATTTTTAACCCAGCAACATGCACAGTTCCTGTTTTGATGAGTTTCCCCTCGAAAGTTGAAGCGATAATAAGTTATTTAAGCAAGTTATTGAACATGGGGCTCTAGCCAGGATTGTCTGCTGCGTTCACTCGAGATCTCCGAAGTTCTTCCAGCATTTATGATACGAATGTTCACGAGAACGCCTCTCTTGAATAATATATATATATATATATATATATATATTCTCAAGTCGATTGACAATCGACTTGAGAATGGTCCAGGACGGACCGAAACGTCGTCGTCCCTTCACCTTCTAGTGTGTGGTCTGGTCAACATACTTTAGCCACGTTATTGTGACTCATCGCCTGCATAGGAACGATGTGTTATCTTGTATTAAAAGCTGGACTTTGTTAATTGTGAGGTACGTGTTGAGTGGGAACGGGCACGCCAGCTTTGGTAGCGTGCCACCAAAGTGTAAATTCCTTAATTAAAAGAAAAAATCATGTTACTATAAGCATTGCACTTAACAACTTACTTGGGGAGATTACTTATGTAATCACCCATTATTTGAAAGTAGAGATTCAGTCACTTAAATTGGCCCAAGTGCATGTTAATTAGTTTTAGTAATGATAGGCGGCCATTACGTGTAGCAAAGGATGTAGGCCAGCTTGGTAACTACCAGAGGAGATCAGGGGACAGTGTGGTGGGATTCGAACCTGGAGGAGCTACTCCACACCAGGGGAGGAAAGCCAGACCACCATCTGGGAGGTGTATAAAAGGTAAAGTAGTGTGTTTGAGATATAGTATAAATTAGGATTGCCATTATCATTCCCTCAAGGATAGGATGTTTTAGGATTTAGGAATTATAATGTGCATTGTGTTAAATAAAGGCGATCAATTCTTCCCTGTGTTTAGACAGTTTCCCTCAATATATTTCTGAGTCCTCGTTCTTGAAGTGTTTGGAAACTCCTGTGATCCACACAGTGTCCTTATGGAATAATTATTCCCCCTTGTCTTGAATAAGCAGTTTGAAAGGAATTCTAGTCCATCCTTTCAAGTAATTTATGATACTGAACTGAACTGAAAACTACAGAAGAAGATGCCCATGAAGCGAGCCTTGAAGTGGGGACAGGTTATCTTGAGGGTTATCTTGAGATGATTTCGGGGCTTTTAGTGTCCCCGCGGCCCGGTCCTCGACCAGGCCTCCACCCCCAGGAAGCAGCCCGTGACAGCTGACTAACTCCCAGGTACCTATTTTACTGCTAGGTAACAGGGGCATAGGGTGAAAGAAATTCTGCCCATTATTTCTCGCCGGCGCCTGGGATCGAACCCAGGACCACAGGATCACAAATCCAGCGTGAAGAAATCCAGGTGAAGAAAAGTCAGTGAAGGAAACGCTGAAGTTGAAGAGAAAAGTGCCCGGGCTTGACCCAGCTGCGTGTCAGTATGTAGATGCTGCAAACAACCCAACATCTGGCTAGGCTGGGAGACGGGTCAAAGGCGGCAGTGGCAGTGCTTCTTCATTCAAGGTAGAGACAATCTGTCTTCAGGTGGTGTCTTCTTTCTTTTGTCTTCTTGTTTCTTCTTCTTTACTTCTTTCTTGAGTCTTCTTTATTCTACTGCATTTTGCTTCTTGTCATCATTTGATGGCGTTTTTTGTACTCGGCGAAGTCCTTAGGGAAAAGTTTAGGTGCATATGTTGATTCATCACATTCCTCGAGGATAATTTTGGGTTCAATGAAGGGTCTTCCATCTGGATGAGTCTACCGGATTTCTTCATGGCTAATGTTGAGTATACGGCTGGTGAGCCGTCTGTACTCAGGTGATCCAGGTGTACTGTTTCCACGTTGAATACTCAGTTCATAGACGACCGGAGATGCACTGGAATATTGCTGTAATTCTTGGAATTCTTCAACGTGAACAGGTGCATCAGAGTCATCATCACAAGACAATTGAAGGTCTGCAGAAGCCGAAGCTTCAGGTGTAGGTTCCTGTGGAGGTGGTGTAGTCTCAGGTACAACTGGAGGAGTAGATGGTTCGACTGGAGTAACAGTATGCAAGGATATTGCAGAATGTGTGGTAGGAGCTGTAGCAGGTTGCAGAGGGTGAGCGCCAGCAGACAGGATGTCTGCCAGTGCAGGTGGAGAGACGGTGACATCAGAGGCAGAAGTAGTGTTCGTTGCTGAAGTCGTAGCTCTGGCGTTGGCTGAGGCTGTAGCTGTAAAAGTGACGTTATTTTTAAGAGGACGGGTTGTAAAAATAACGTCACTTTTGGCTCGTATGCGCGATATGGCTAAATTTGGACGTAATTTTAAATGAAATCGACTCACAAAAGTGACGTACTGTTCCGTTTTCTATTTGAGTCGTCCGGCGTACGCGCAGAGGTTATAAGAGGACACTTTAAATTAACGTTTTTCATAACGTTTTGAAACTTTATGAGAATTTCCTGCCCACCTAACCTATCAGAGGACCCTTAACTTACTCTTGTTGAATAAAAAAATCCCAAATTTATTTTCATTTTTTTTCATTTTCAAATTACGTCCAAATTCGGCCATACGGACAAACGGCCAAAAGCGACGTTCTTTTTAAGAGGACAGGTTGATTTTTAAGAGGACAGGTTGAGCTGTGAAGAGTTCGTCAGGAACAGTAAATGTTGGTAGACCATTGTCAGCGTACATGATGTTTAGCATTCGTACAAATTCCTTGGTGCTTGTGCCTGCAATCCTTTCAGCAGTGCGGACGAGTCCCATTATGACATTGTGATACATTATGACATTTATGTTGTTAAAGATTCGCTACCTGAAACAAAGTGCCAAGCAGCACTGGCTATGGTGAGCCCGTTGTGCCTTATTTGTGGTGAGCCCAATTCCTGCTAAATCTAATACTAGTTGACTGATGACTCCTGAGTCAATTAGCTTAGTGACCCCGAATTAGGAGAAGTGGTGGTAGTGTAATTATTAATTTGAGTAATCCACGGTTATCATCCTGTGTTGTAAACGATATTGTTAACAACATTCGTCATCAGTCATTCCTTCACCCGCCCTTCCTGTTTTTGGTCGAGCAGCCTGTTGTGGTCGAGCAGCCTGTTGTGGTGGAGCAGCCTGTTGTGGTCGAGCAGCCTGTTGTGGTCGAGCAGCCTGTTGTGGTCGAGCAGCCTGTTGTGGTGGAGCAGTCTGTTGTGGTCGAGCAGCCTGTTGTGGTGGAGCATCCTGTTGTGGTGGAGCAGCCTGTTGTGGTGGAGCAGTCTGTTGTGGTCGAGCAGCCTGTTGTAGTCGAGCAGCCTGTTGTGGTGGAGCATCCTGTTGTGGTGGAGCAGTCTGTTGTGGTCGAGCAGCCTGTTGTGGTCGAGCAGCCTGTTGTGGTGGAGCAGCCTGTTGTGGTGGAGCAGCCTGTTGTGGTCGAGCAGCCTGTTGTGGTCGAGCAGCCTGTTGTGGTGGAGCAGCCTGTTGTGGTGGAGCAGCCTGTTGTGGTCGAGCAGCCTGTTGTGGTCGAGCAGCCTGTTGTGGTGGAGCATCCTGTTGTGGTGGAGCAGCCTGTTGTGGTGGAGCAGCCTGTTGTGGTCGAGCAGCCTGTTGTGGTCGAGCAGCCTGTTGTGGTGGAGCAGCCTGTTGTGGTGGAGCAGCCTGTTGTGGTGGAGCAGCCTGTTGTGGTGGAGCAGCCTGTTGTGGTCGAGCAGCCTGTTGTGGTGGAGCAGCCTGTTGTGGTGGAGCAGCCTGTTGTGGTGGAGCAGTCTGTTGTGGTGGAGCAGCCTGTTGTGGTGGAGCAGCCTGTTGTGGTGGAGCAGCCTGTTGTGGTCGAGCAGCCTGTTGTGGTGGAGCAGCCTGTTGTGGTCGAGCAGCCTGTTGTGGTGGAGCATCCTGTTGTGGTGGAGCAGTCTGTTGTGGTCGAGCAGCCTGTTGTGGTCGAGCAGCCTGTTGTGGTCGAGCAGCCTGTTGTGGTCGAGCAGCCTGTTGTGGTCGAGCAGCCTGTTGTGGTCGAGCAGCCTGTTGTGGTCGAGCAGCCTGTTGTGGTGGAGCAGCCTGTTGTGGTGGAGCAGTCTGTTGTGGTCGAGCAGTCTGTTATAAGGGCAGGCTCGACGGTTCTAGGGAGTGTATGTCTTACAATAGTCACAGCCTGAAGGCTTATGCCGCTAATCAGTATTGCTGATTGTACAATTGGTGGTTGAACACCAAGGAGTACAAGGGTGCCTGGGGGCTGAGGTGTCAATGGTAGCAGTGGTGTTCCATTGGGACGTTCCACTGGTAGCCATCGGGTACCACACACCACTGCCACACACCCTTCCTTGTCACATAATAGTTCACCAACTCTGGTAAACTAATGAGGAGATATTATAGTTTGGATTATTGTTCATAAAAGACGATTCTATTATTTTTTTTCTGTTGAAAAATTAGATAAATTATTCAAGAATTATCCCATGTAATTCTGTGATCAGTCAAACTTACATATTTATATATAGCTTAGCTTTTTTGGCCACATCAAACAGCCTTGTTGTGTTGGGCGATATAGGTGTGAAGGTCTTTGGTTGTTTGGCCATAATAAACTTCGATACAATTACCTCAAGGACTCATACAGACTCAGCGTCTATCTTTATTCTGATAGACGCTTACTAATTCATTTCCGATTTTATTTGGATAACCGAAAAAATGGATTTTGCTTTATCCACTTTGCGGATGTGTTCTGTATTAAGCGGTGTGTTTTGTATTGAGCGGTGTGTTCTGTATTAAGCGGTGTGTTTTGTATTGAGCGGTGTGTTCTGTATTAAGCGGTGTGCTCTGTATTAAGTAGTGTGTTCTGTATTAAGCGGTGTGTTTTGTATTAAGCGGTGTGTTCTGTATTAAGCGGTGTGTTCTGTATTAAGTGGTGTGTTCTGTATTAAGCGGATGTGTTCTGTATTAAGCGGATGTGTTCTGTATTAAGTAGTGTGTTCTGTATTAAGCGGTGTGCTCTGTATTAAGCGGTGTGTTCTGTATTAAGTGGTGTGTTCTGTATTAAGCGGTGTGTTCTGTATTAAGTGGTGTGTTCTGTATTAAGTGGTGTGTTCTGTATTGAGCGGTGTGTTCTGTATTAAGCGGTGTGCTCTGTATTAAGTAGTGTGTTCTGTATTAAGCGGTGTGTTTTGTATTAAGCGGTGTGTTCTGTATTAAGCGGTGTGTTCTGTATTAAGCGGTGTGTTCTGTATTAAGCGGATGTGTTCTGTATTAAGCGGTGTGTTCTGTATTAAGCGGTGTGCTCTGTATTAAGCGGTGTGTTCTGTATTAAGCGGTGTGTTCTGTATTAAGTGGTGTGTTCTGTATTAAGCGGTGTGTTCTGTATTAAGTGGTGTGTTCTGTATTAAGCGGTGTGTTCTGTATTAAGCGGTGTGCTCTGTATTAAGTGGTGTGTTCTGTATTAAGTGGTGTGTTCTGTATTAAGCGGTGTGTTCTGTATTAAGCGGTGTGTTCTGTATTAAGCGGTGTGTTCTGTATTAAGCGGTGTGTTCTGTATTAAGCGGTGTGCTCTGTATTAAGCGGTGTGTTCTGTATTAAGTGGTGTGTTCTGTATTAAGCGGTGTGCTCTGTATTAAGCGGTGTGTTCTGTATTAAGCGGTGTGCTCTGTATTAAGTGGTGTGTTCTGTATTAAGCGGTGTGTTCTGTATTAAGCGGTGTGTTCTGTATTAAGCGGTGTGTTCGGTATTAAGTGGTGTGTTCTGTATTAAGCGGTGTGCTCTGTATTAAGCGGTGTGTTCTGTATTAAGCGGTGTGTTCTGTATTAAGCGGTGTGTTCTGTATTAAGCGGTGTGTTCTGTATTAAGCGGTGTGCTCTGTATTAAGTGGTGTGTTCTGTATTAAGTGGTGTGTTCTGTATTAAGCGGTGTGCTCTGTATTAAGCGGTGTATTCTGTATTAAGCGGTGTGCTCTGTATTAAGCGGTGTGTTCTGTATTAAGTGGTGTGTTCTGTATTAAGTGGTGTGCTCTGTATTAAGCGGTGTGTTCTGTATTAAGCGGTGTGCTCTGTATTAAGTGGTGTGTTCTGTATTAAGCGGTGTGTTCTGTATTAAGCGGTGTGCTCTGTATTAAGCGGTGTGTTCTGTATTAAGTGGTGTGTTCTGTATTAAGCGGTGTGCTCTGTATTAAGCGGTGTGTTCTGTATTAAGCGGTGTGCTCTGTATTAAGCGGTGTGTTCTGTATTAAGTGGTGTGTTCTGTATTAAGCGGTGTGCTCTGTATTAAGCGGTGTGTTCTGTATTAAGCGGTGTGCTCTGTATTAAGCGGTGTGTTCTGTATTAAGCGGTGTGTTCTGTATTAAGCAGTGTGCTCTGTATTAAGCGGTGTGTTCTGTATTAAGTGGTGTGTTCTGTATTAAGCGGTGTGCTCTGTATTAAGCGGTGTGTTCTGTATTAAGCGGTGTGCTCTGTATTAAGCGGTGTGTTCTGTATTAAGTGGTGTGTTCTGTATTAAGCGGTGTGCTCTGTATTAAGCGGTGTGCTCTGTATTAAGTGGTGTGTTCTGTATTAAGCGGTGTGCTCTGTATTAAGCGGTGTGTTCTGTATTAAGCGGTGTGTTCGGTATTAAGCGGTGTGTTCTGTATTAAGCGGTGTGCTCTGTATTAAGCGGTGTGTTCTGTATTAAGTGGTGTGTTCTGTATTAAGCGGTGTGTTCTGTATTAAGTGGTGTGTTCTGTATTAAGCGGTGTGCTCTGTATTAAGCGGTGTGCTCTGTATTAAGCGGTGTGCTCTGTATTAAGCGGTGTGCTCTGTATTAAGCGGTGTGTTCTGTATTAAGTGGTGTGTTCTGTATTAAGCGGTGTGCTCTGTATTAAGCGGTGTGTTCTGTATTAAGCGGTGTGCTCTGTATTAAGCGGTGTGTTCTGTATTAAGTGGTGTGTTCTGTATTAAGCGGTGTGCTCTGTATTAAGCGGTGTGTTCTGTATTAAGCGGTGTGTTCTGTATTAAGTGGTGTGTTCTGTATTAAGTGGTGTGTTCTGTATTAAGCGGTGTGTTCTGTATTAAGCGGTGTGTTCTGTATTAAGCGGTGTGTTCTGTATTAAGCGGTGTGCTCTGTATTAAGCGGTGTGTTCTGTATTAAGCGGTGTGTTCTGTATTAAGCGGTGTGTTCTGTATTAAGCGGTGTGTTCTGTATTAAGCGGTGTGTTCTGTATTAAGCGGTGTGCTCTGTGCTCTGTATTAAGCGGTGTGTTCTGTATTAAGCGGTGTGCTCTGTATTAAGTAGTGTGTTCTGTATTAAGCGGTGTGTTCTGTATTAAGCGGTGTGTTCTGTATTAAGCGGTGTGCTCTGTATTAAGCGGTGTGTTCTGTATTAAGCGGTGTGTTCTGTATTAAGCGGTGTGTTCTGTATTAAGCGGTGTGTTCTGTATTAAGCGGTGTGTTCTGTATTAAGCGGTGTGCTCTGTATTAAGCGGTGTGCTCTGTATTAAGCGGTGTGCTCTGTATTAAGCGGTGTGTTCTGTATTAAGCGGTGTGCTCTGTATTAAGCGGTGTGTTCTGTATTAAGCGGTGTGTTCTGTATTAAGCGGTGTGTTCTGTATTAAGCGGTGTGTTCTGTATTAAGCGGTGTGTTCTGTATTAAGCGGTGTGCTCTGTATTAAGCGGTGTGCTCTGTATTAAGCGGTGTGTTCTGTATTAAGCGGTGTGTTCTGTATTAAGCGGTGTGCTCTGTATTAAGCGGTGTGTTCTGTATTAAGCGGTGTGCTCTGTATTAAGCGGTGTGTTCTGTATTAAGCGGTGTGTTCTGTATTAAGCGGTGTGTTCTGTATTAAGCGGTGTGCTCTGTATTAAGTGGTGTGTTCTGTATTAAGCGGTGTGCTCTGTATTAAGCGGTGTGTTCTGTATTAAGCGGTGTGCTCTGTATTAAGCGGTGTGTTCTGTATTAAGTGGTGTGTTCTGTATTAAGTGGTGTGTTCTGTATTAAGCGGTGTGCTCTGTATTAAGCGGTGTGTTCTGTATTAAGCGGTGTGCTCTGTATTAAGCGGTGTGTTCTGTATTAAGCGGTGTGTTCTGTATTAAGCGGTGTGTTCTGTATTAAGCGGTGTGCTCTGTATTAAGCGGTGTGTTCTGTATTAAGTGGTGTGTTCTGTATTTAGCGGTGTGCTCTGTATTAAGTGGTGTGTTCTGTATTAAGCGGTGTGCTCTGTATTAAGCGGTGTACTCTGTATTAAGCGGTGTGCTCTGTATTAAGCGGTGTGTTCTGTATTAAGTGGTGTGTTTTGTATTAAGTGGTGTGTTCTGTATTAAGCGGTGTGCTCTGTATTAAGCGGTGTGCTCTGTATTAAGCGGTGTGCTCTGTATTAAGCGGTGTGCTCTGTATTAAGCGGTGTGTTCTGTATTAAGCGGTGTGCTCTGTATTAAGCGGTGTGCTCTGTATTAAGCGGTGTGTTCTGTATTAAGTGGTGTGTTCTGTATTAAGTGGTGTGTTCTGTATTAAGCGGTGTGTTCTGTATTAAGCGGTGTGTTCTGTATTAAGCGGTGTGTTCTGTATTAAGCGGTGTGTTCTGTATTAAGCGGTGTGTTCTGTATTAAGCGGTGTGTTCTGTATTAAGCGGTGTGTTCTGTATTAAGCGGTGTGTTCTGTATTAAGCGGTGTGCTCTGTATTAGAATTATATGGAATGACCCAGCTGGGTCATTCCATATAATTCTTGAAACCAAATAATTACAAACCGGAGCCCAACTTGAGTTCCGGTTCGAGGCCTCCAGAACCTCCCAGTGAGTTCAGTAGAGTGAACTCTACAGTAGTTCAGTAGAGTGAACTCTACAGTAGTTCAGTAGAGTGAACTCTACAGTAGTTCAGTAGAGTGAACTCTACAGTAGTTCAGTAGAGTGAACTCTACAGTAGTTCAGTAGAGTGAACTCTACAGTAGTTCAGTAGAGTGAACTCTACAGTAGTTCAGTAGAGTGAACTCTACAGTAGTTCAGTAGAGTGAACTCTACAGTAGTTCAGTAGAGTGAACTCTACAGTAGTTCAGTAGAGTGAACTCTACAGTAGTTCAGTAGAGTGAACTCTACAGTAGTTCAGTAGAGTGAACTCTACAGTAGTTCAGTAGAGTGAACTCTACAGTAGTTCAGTAGAGTGAACTCTACAGTAGTTCAGTAGAGTGAACTCTACAGTAGTTCAGTAGAGTGA